AGTGCTCTGCTTTGTCACTACAAAGCAGCATCATGTCCTCTCCAAAGGGGCTCCTGCCTACCACCCCCCCCAATCTTGGACCCCAAACACAAACACACTAGAACACCTAGAAAGCCTGACCTGCCCTGAGCTACATTAAGATGGGCAATAAGCTCCTCCCTGAATGTTTTACTCATCTCTCTAATCTTCCCTACCAATCCAGCCACCGAGTGCAGTGCCTGGTAGAAAAGGGGCCCATACGTCCACTTGGAGAACGGAGTTTCATGATGCAAAAACACTTGCATGGGTTTCTAGGTGGCCCTTCCATGCCCCCACCCCGACCGGGGCAATAAATTCCCCCAAACTGCTGACAGAACATCCAAATCGGTCACTCTTCCTGGAGCTGAACTTGACGGGGCCCACCCCTGTGTCATTCATGTCATAGCCTCTGAAAGGCCATCCTTGGCCACCCATCCACAGTCACGCCATGTCTCACCCCGCCCCCCAGCACGTGCGCGCACTCTCTTTCTCTCTCTCTCTCTCTCTCTCTCACACACACACACAAACACCTAACATTCCAAAACTCATACTGTTCCTCTGTTGGCTGGCCAGAACGTACATTCCATGAGAGCGGGAACCTTGGTCGTTCTAGTTCTCTGCTGTAACTTCAGCATCTACCATAGCGTGGGACACAGACACAGCAAATGCCTGTCACATAAGGCTGAGGGGACACCCTCCAGACATCTGCTACTTTTCTCTGACAGTCCCCTAAGGCTCCTCTCCACCTTCTGTGGGCCCAGCCAAGTTCCCTTCTTCTCTTGGCGTCGGGAGTCCTCGTTGCTCCACCAGTAGGTTAGCACTTAACTTCTTTCCCTTAAACTGCCTCAGACCAAATTATTTTGCAGCTGGATCTCTTACCTCCCTAACTTGACTGCAAGTGTGTATATGCTCTGTCACCTTTGGAGAAGAAAGCATTTCACATATGTGCAACTAAAGAAAACTGAGGTGTTCTTCACAGTACCAAGACTTCTTATTTGAACGACTCTGGTTACAGAGACACATGAAACATTTTCTCTTTAAGCTGATTCTAATTCCACCATTCTGTGATGACTACAAGTCACCTAGACAGATTCTATAAACTAGTTGGCATTCTCAGGGACTACTTACAGTTTTTATGAAGGATTATCTAAACCTCTCAAGTAACCTGAAGGAGGTACATACTCTTCACAATTCACTGCTGCCAGTTTTGTCATAAACCGCCTTCTTTACTGTCCAGCTATCAGCTATAAAAACTATTTGCTGCTATAAATAATTCCTCTCTCTAGTTTGTTGTGAACGGAAAAGTCAATAGATCAGAAGCAGGCCAAAAACCAGGGTGAATCGGCACAGGGCGAGGCTCTGCCATGGGAAAGCAGAGTGGCAAGGCCCACCACTTGTTCTGGGCTTAGAGAAATCCCCCATAAATACCGACTGATTAAATGAGTCACAAACTCATTCCTTCCTCTGCACGAAACACGAACTCTCAGCCGCACGGTGTCAGTGGCACTTACTGTTACAACAGACCCGCCCGCTGCGCTAACTCTTCTACTGTCTGGTTTGCTCTTGACAGCAATCCCATGAAGCTAGGCAGTACAGAGACCATTCCGCGTTAAAACACCCATTTTTACAGCTATGGAAACTGTACCCCAGAAAGGTGACATAACTCCCCCAGTCACACACCTGGTAGAAACCCAGGAGTCCCATGTTTTACATGCCTTCCACTCAGCCCCTGTGTATGAGCCACTATTGTTTCTTGAGGGTAAAAGAACTTCAGCTAAGGCTCTTCGGTGGCCAGGAGACAGCAGGGCAACACCAAATTTGCTATTATAGTCTGTGTCTTAAAAGAACTTTTGCCAACCATCATTATTTACTGCTAACCAGCAAATTCAATCTCTTATTTCTCACAATAACAAACAGGACACAAATCGAGAAGACGGTAAATTCTTCTAACTATGGCCTTTCTATGTTACTTCTAAGATCACAATCTTCCTGTGGTGCAAATTAAAATAACCGAAGCATCAGACACTAAAAACCCTCCCTCCTTCTCTACCTGCTGTCCCAAGAAATTCTCATGCTCCATCTCATAACGTGTTGCTTAGACGTGTAAGAAGTTAGGCTGAATTACAAAGCTGAGAATCCAAAATTCTCGTTTCAAACACCTCAAGTATGCACATCTTTGGCCCATGGCAAAACTGCATGCTCCCTGGTCAGAGACAATATGAACTGTGTTCTCCCAGCACTGTGTTCTCTTCCTTCGTTACAAGGTTTGTGTGGGTCTTTGTTTGCCAATCAGCCAACATTTATTGAGGGCCTATTCTGTGCCAACCATCAAGCAACTTCCTGATTTAATGTCTGTCTCCCCCACCAGACTCCAGGTTACATGAGAAGAGGCACTGCCGCTTTTCTGCTCACCATTGCACTACTCAACCTAGCAGAGTGCCTGGCACACGGCAGGGACTTCACAAACATGAACTGCATGAATGAATGATAAGAGAGACGGAGAGAGAGAGAGAAGAGGCCACTCTGTAAAGGAAGCGGGGCTTTTACTGCCCAGAACACGCCCCATGATCCCCCAGCAACGTGATGAATTCTGAAAGGCGCCACATGCAATGCACAGCTGTAGGCACAGCAGCTGTCCTGCAAGGGAGCTAAGGCCCGGAACTCTGAAGAATTCGGCCCTTTGTTTCTCTCTGCCTGCCTCATAATCAAAACGAAGTTAGGTCCACTGTCAGACTACCTGTCAGCTGCAGGTCTTCAACACCTGGCTTGCAGAATTACTAAGCTAACGTGCTACTGAATGAAATTTATGTTGATTTACTCTCCGACATCACTGCCTGAAAAAGTATTTAAAACGTCTGAGGTCACACACAAGACCTAAACAGAACCAAGTTAAAATAAAAAGTTCTCCGTTTCAGGTCTTTGCAAGCTATAAATTAGCTTTCACCGAGTATTTAATTTAAAAGCAAAGAAGGTTTGACTCATTATTTAAACTCTCTAAACTTCAGTACTCTTTACCAGTAAGTTGTTCAAAACAGACTATTAAGTTCCCAGGGCGAGCTTCATGCAAGTATTTTCATAAAAACCTAAGACTCAGTGGATTATATGCTTCCCAGAGTAAATACAAAAATAATAACAGGGATAACATGAACTATTTAATTCAATGTAAAAACCCAGCAATCTAGGCAGGTATAAAAATGTACATTTGTATATTCATGTATCACTAATTAGACAAAAAGTTTATTTTCAGTTTTTTTTCTCCACATCCAACTAAATGAGCAGAAAAAAACATTTAGGGTTCAATAAAAAAGCAGAAAGTGATGCACACCAAAGTATGCTGAACAGAGAAAAACCTGAAAGAAGCTGCTAGGAAGCTATGAATATATTTAAACATATCATTAGTTATACTTAGTAGCAGAGTAAAGATCTCCCGCTCCCCCCAAAATACCGCCCCTGCAAATAAATCACAACTTACCTGGAGAGGCTGGTGGCATTACTTATAAATGAAATGAACACTGAATAAACAAACCGAAATATGTAAACAGTTTCAAACAATTAGGTATTAAGCCTAAAAACAACAAAAATCTCAATACTCAGTTACAGCAGTAGAAAAAAAACACTTGGGAATTTTCTAGACCCTGATCATGTGATGCAGGATCAAAGCATTTAATGGCCTAAAACAATAACGAAATAACATTCGATAAAAGAAAATGTGTACTTAGAAAAAGACCCCACCAACTTTCTCTTGGATGAAGTTAGTTGTATTCCCATTACACTGTGAAATATAAAGAATAGGTAATGGAAAAAAATCACAATCGACTGCTTGCCTACATTTTTAAACATTCTTTTTACATTCTTCCAAAATCGTTTACGTTATGATTTCATTTACAGTATGACTTCCACAACTCACTTGGCAACGTTCTGAGTAAAGGACGGACCCCTAAGTTCTGACGACTACAAAAATTTACGTAAGACCTAAGGCAGGCAAAAAAACCAAACGAACAAAAAAGGACTTATAGGACTAAGAAACTACCATACCGTGCCTTGGCATATATTCAAACTGGGCTCTATGAAAGATTCACGAATTCACATTAAAATTCTTCATTAAAAAAAAACAAAACCAACCTGTCCGAATTGAACGCCAGCTGGAAATAGGATACATCCAACCCAACTATTTTCCTACCCAGAATTATCCCCTCCCCTTTTTAAGTGCGACTGCGCTTTATCTTTTGTTCGAAAACATCGTAAAACAAAATAAAACTACGGGAGTTGAGTCAAAAGTGACACGACATCACACTCTTCAACTTCCATTTCTGTTAGTGGCCTAATTTCGAGAAGGTCCGCGGTGCTCAGACCTTCGCCCACCCCGAGTGTTGCAATCGTGCGCGGCGCGGCCCGGCCCAGCGAGGACAGGAGAGGAGAGGAGTGGCGGGGCCCGGCCCGGCCCGGCCCCGCGCCCAGAGGAGTGGCGGGGCCCGGCGCGGGGCGGCCCGGGGCGGAGCGGCGGCGGCCGGCCCTTCCCGCACGGGCCCGGCTGCATCCGAGGCCGCCGAATCCGCGGACCCGGAGATGTCACTCTCGGAACGTATTTCATGACGCGTTCGCTGGCGAACAGCACAAAAAGCTAAGAATACAGCGGGTGTGCAGGGCTCCGGAGAGACCGGCCGCCGCTCCCACCCGCGAGTGCGGCTATTTCGGAGGTTCCGAGCGAGGTGACAAGCAGCCCTCGGCCGGCCCTCCCAGCGCTCGGTCCGCTCACTCTTGCGCGCCCGGCTTCTCGGCCCCAACTTAGCCAAGAGCCCGAGCGCGGCGTCCGGCCGTGATTCAGCAGCGGCCCGGGGGGGGGGGGGGGCGGCCCGGGGGCCGGGATCGCGGGCTGGGGCCGGGCCGGGCCGGGAAAGGTCACCGAGAGCCGTGGGCGCCGCCCGGGCCCGAACCCGGCCCGGCGGCGGCGGCGGGGGAGCCGGGGCGGCGCGGGCGCCTACCTTTCCTGCTTTTCGGGGAGCTCCGCTTGCTCCGGGCGCTGGCTCGCTCTTCCTCAATCGCAGCTGCTATCTCGGGGTTGTCTTCCCCATTGTACCAGACCAGGAGCTCCTCGCCCGGCGCGATTGGCTGCGGGGACAGAAGAGACAGGCGCCGGGCCAATCAGAGCGACGGTTGTTGGCGGGGCGGGGCGGGGCGGGGGCGGCGCTCCCGGCTGGGGCGGCGAGCCCGGCCAGCCCGGCAGGAAGGGCTCCTTAACCCTTGGCGGCCGCGCGCACAAACCCTCTGCTGGAGGGAGGACCTCACTTCCCGGCCCGCCTCCTCTCCCCGGGGGCCGCGGGGCGGACCTGCGGCTCTGCTGTCAACTCCGAACTCTCTTACCTTACCGAATCTTACTGCCCAAAGCCTCACGACTGCCCACGCAGAAGCAAAAATAAAACACGGAACCATTTTGCCCACGAAATCTAGGCTCATGAGAAATGCAAAGCGTAATGTAAAAGAACCCGACGGTTTGGAAAGAGAAGTGTTGAAAGCTAATTACCAGCGTACGTTTCGGATGCCAAGAGCAAGTTCAGCACGATAAGAACTGTAAGTCACTGCACATTTATAAACGCACCGCTAATGATATCACGGAAATGCTAAAAGAGGAGGCGGGACGCAGGACGCAGGCGTCCCTGCACTATATTCTCTATGCGCTGCCACCAACCTGCTCGGGCCAAAGGAGAATCCACTGCCTTGCCCTCTGTACCAGACAACTTTTAAATGCAGAAGGAAATGCCTTAAAAAACCACACAGGTACTATGCTCCTAAAACATTAACTCTGAAAAAGCCATGAGAGTAGCGAGGACATGGACCACCGCCACGCTGATTACACCTAGGATAAGATCCTGAAGAAAAAGATAACCGAGTGGAAAGATCACATTCCTAAATAGAATTTAAGGAAATGGCTTATTGGCTTCTCTCACAATGACTCACCTGTTCAAAAAGTTCCAAGGGTAACAACAAAAGTAAAATTGCACCTAAAACCCACCGAATAAAATAAGAATCCATCAGTCCATTCTGATATAAATATAATGAATGAACAAGTAAATAAAGAAGGAAAAAGCTCTTCCTTGAAGTAGATCCCAACTAATCAATAAAAAACAAATAATGGAATTAGAAAACCACCACTTGGCAATCATAGCAGTAATAACTGATTCATCAACAGATGCTAAAACTAATAGGTCTAAGTTTCAGGTGTAATAGTATGAGCATGGTCTCAAAACATCTCCCCATAAAACATGAATTACAAAGGTAAAAACAGTATCCTCAGGATGAGATAAATCAACATCCTGTGCCTCCTGATACAATGCACAGAAAAGATTATCATCACTTCTGGAGCTCTCTGCCCAAAATGCATGACCATAACTTAATCATGATGAAATATAAGAAACGCCCAAACTGTGGGACATTCTACAAAATAACTGACAGGTTTGCTCAAAACTGAAAGGCTATACCAGACGAAGACTGACATACTGTCCACACTAAGGAGACTGATAAGACATTACAACTGAATGCAACTGAGTTTTCTCTTCCTATAAGGACATGGTTGGAACAACTGACAAAATGTGAATAAGGTGTATAGATTAGCTAATGAAACACTGTGTCAGTGTTAGCTCCCTGATTTTGATCACCGCACTAAGATTATGGAAGAGGAGGCCCTTGGTTTTAGGTGCAGGTGAATTCCATCTAAGACGCCAGTTTAGAAACAGCATAGTTCCTCATTTTAACGTACCTTCTCGTCTAAATAAAGCCCTTGAAAGTAGACTTTATTTTGTTTCATTCTCTGCAGAACTCAGTTTAGGTAGTCCGAATTTTAAGATATTCTCAATTCTTTAAAAGAACAAGCTACTGTTTCCTTTGCTCCCCCAAGGATGGCTAAAACCTGCCATTTTCTCATCTTTAAACCAATGTACTCTTATTTGCCTTCTTGAATCAGTTACACCTGATTCTAATATATAATCTATTAATGAATTGAAATAGCCATTACAGATGTCTTTTGGCACTCTGATGTGCTAAATCTGTTTCTCCTGAAGGAACAGGCTTTTTATTTAAGTAAACTATTTCTAGTTCCAAATGTATAGTCTACTTCCCTATCTTTTTGTTATAAATCACATATTTATGGAATGGCAGTATCCCCCAATATTTGAAATGATTAGCGTTCACAGAAATAAGGGAAGTCTTCAATAAAACCAAAGTAAAAAAGAAACACGGAATGGAGGGAGGAAAAAGATGTATTCCCGATATGTCCCTGATAGTTTTTAATCATCAAAGAGCATAACCAGAACACTGGCTACAAGACACCCACTGGACATTTTCAAGATACCTACCAGACTCAGAGCTTAAAGTTTCCTTGTTCATTGCACTGCAGTCTTCGGCACAGAACTGACTGCACTAGCAACTGTGTGAAGAGAAGTATCAGCACAAACTCTTTATTTAGGAGGCTACTCCTTTGTTGTTGCAAAACACAATATAAAACACAACAGAATCTGTTCTCTAATATAACATTTCTAAATAGCTCGTGAACTGGTGAACAGCTGGTTAAGAGCAACCTGATTTGTTAGCTATTGAACAACCTTCAAAACTGTTAGCAGCTGAGAGGATTATTATATTCTTGAGCTATTTACTTCCCCACCTCATAGTAAAACAGCGACACAACTAACAGATCTTTATGAAGAGGAAAGTAATATATATATTTTTTAATCGGTGCTTGTTTGCTTCGGTACTACATTGTTTTTTCTTCTGCACTGCTTAGCACATTTAAGATTTTGTAAGTCAAATTTCAGAAGAGAAAAATTATGTTCTTAAACATAGAACTATAAGTGCACATCTTAAAAAATAAAGTTGAAAGTCCAAACAACCTTTTTATGTATTGTACTGTGATGTTCAACAAAACAAGAAGATTTTAAGATCTTTCAACTTTTCCTTTGAGTTCTGACAGGCTTACAGAATGAAGCATACTCTCTCTTTTTTTTTTTTTAAAGATTTTATTTATTTATTTGACAGAGAGAGACACAGCGAGAGAGGGAACAAGCAGGGGGAGTGGGAGAGGGAGAAGCAGGCTTCCCGTCGAGCAGGGAGCCCGATGCGGGGCTAGATCCCAGGACCCTGGGATCATGACCTGAGCCAAAGGCAGACGCTTAAAGACTGAGCCACCCAGGTGCCCCCCAAGCATACTCTCTTATCTAAGTATCAGTAAATATAAACTCGAAATTTTACCAGACCAATTAGGAAGAGACAAGGGTTCCAATAAATATTCCTGACACTAGGTCAAAATAAGAGAAATACTCCAGAATTATAAGAATACACAACACATCAACGCTCAGCCACTTACAATCTAGTCACCAGCATGATCTCTTCCAAGTCACGGGTCAGGACAGCCTCAGCTCTCAAACAGGTGAACTGAAGACTGAAATTCATCTTTCTCCCTGTGGGCCACAAGGCCCCACCTGATCTGACCCCTGACCACCTTACCAGCCTCATCTACCATTCCTCTCCTTGCTCCAGACACACTGACCTTTATCTATTCCTTAAAAAAAAAAATCTAGCTTATTTCTACTTCAAGGCCTTTACTTCTACCGGGCCCCTCTTTCTAGACTGGTCTTCCGCAGAGATCTTTGTGTGACTGGCTCCTTCCCATGCTAGGGGGGTAGGAAGGAGGGGGTTTTTATGTCTTGTCTTCCCTGACCTGCCAGGGGATAGATAAAAAATTATATAATTTTATATAATTTTTTTAAATTATAATTTTACTCATTGTTCATTTTCTATAAGCTGGAGTTCCATGAGACCAGAGACCTTGTCTGTTCTGTTCACTACCACAGAAGAATACCTGGTACATAGTAGACTCTCAATAAATATTTATCAAACTAATGAAGAGATGAATGAATGGGTGGGAGGCCAACTTCTAACTTTCGGGAATTTAAAATAGTTTTTAATCATACTACAAACAAGACCAGTGTTGAGATTTCCTAATTACCTGGGTGATAGTTGAGAAGGCTATACAGAGCCCAGAGGAACATCACGTGTAATTTATTTACAAAACCTAACCCACAGAAAGCTTAATCTAGAAGATTTTAGTGAGATAATCACTAGCAAGGAATCTGAAAGGTCTTGTGCATACGTGAGCAAACATCAAAGGTCAGGACTGGGGGATGTCTGCAAAGACAGAACTATGTTACTTCAGACAAAGGTAAAAAGAATAGCAATGGTACAGCTGGTTAACACCTGGGAATACTCAGGTTAGGCTAGCACTGTTCACACAACCTTACAACTAGTGGCTTGTTTAACCTTCACAACAACTGTATTAATTGGACTATGACCTCCATTTTTACAGATGAGAAAACTAAGAGAGTTTAAGTAACTTCTCCTAGTCACACATCTAGATGCCAGAATTCGCTCACAAGGCAATCTGCTCCAGAGTCCCCACTCCTAACCACAGGACTATAATACCTCACCAAAAATAACAGCTAGCATTTAGCATTTATTAGGCACTAGAGCTCTACCTCTAATAGCCTAGACAATCATCATGATAACCCTATGAGGTCAATACTATAGTTATCTGTATGTTACAAATAAGGGAACGAAGGCAAAGAAAGGTGACCTGCCTAAGGTTACACAGCTAGTGAAGTCCCAATGACCTGCCTTGGGTCACAAAGCAAGCCCAGATTTAATCCAGCAGTCTGGCTTCAGAATTCACTCTCCCAAACACCATTCTCTCTCCATTCTCAGTGTTTCAGATTTGCTACCAGAAATGAACACGTTTTAACAGGAAGTCAGATGAAGGAACTGTGAAGTGTCTGAGAATCACCCTGGGCTTGCTCTCCCTTGGGGCCTCATTTCCACTCCCTTGATCCCCTCCCAGTCATCCCCTCACTACTATTTCATCTCCACCAGGATTCTGCCTCACCAATTTAACCAGAGGTAACTCTCCCTTTAAATCAGTTTGAGAAACAATGAATGAATTCTTGAATCAAGTTCTGAATCCAATTTCAAACTGCAGTGTAACCACACTGCATAGAAATACCTACTAGGAGATCATGCTATTACAATCCAGCAGCAAGAAAAATGAGAAGGAAGGTGGTAGACATTTTTCATGAGACGATAGCACAAAAAAACATTTCCTGCAGAGACTGGAAGCAAGGGCTTGGGTATATATGAAGCAAAGGGCAGTCCAACTGGCTAAAGATGAGAGGAAAAATACAGCAAAGGAGAATTAAACAGCTCTGTGTTAACTAAACTTCCAGAAGTCCCAGCGCTACCACACAGGTAAAATTCACCATGCTGCAAAGCTGACCACTGTCTTCAACGCTTGCTCAAGAGGTTTCAACTCCATGAAGATCCTTTGTTTTCATGGACTGTCCCCCAATCGAGGACAATTTTAAATGGAAGTGAATAAACAGAAACTTGAATTGCAGCAATTTTAGTAGACATATCTATTCCAAAAAGCAACAGTCATCTATCTTTAGAGCCTCAAGTCTCCTCTTTAGAGAACATTTCCATGCAGGGTCAGTGCAGATTTGCCTTCCCAGAGAACATGAAGACAGGGCCAGCGCCAGAAATGCAGCAGCACTCAACGCTGCCTAATGCTAACTGCCCTGCATGTACTCAGTGACCTCTGACCTCACCACAAACTCTAGACAATGATTTCCTCTTCTTTTCATCTCAACAATTAATATCTCCAAATCAAAAACTGGCAGAAAGAAGAAACCCGTTCTGTTTAACTTCCAATCTGAATAAAATCTAGGGAAAGGAAAAGCTAATCCATGGCTACATGACACTGAAGACCAAGAATGTGTTTTCCGTTAACACAGAAGCACCACAGCTATCGACGGTCTCCTACACTTGGATAAATCTGCCAGTTGAACAGTGGCTCGTCCATTTGTATCTTAAGAGGGGGGAAGCGGCTGCCACATGCTTAACTCACCAGTATCTACAAAGATGCAGCATGTAATTATTTAACGCAACCTTCATGCTTTGGTGCACACAAAACAGTGGCAACTGTATATTTATTTTTTATTTTTTTTATTTTTTTTTTTAAGATTTTATTTATTTATTTGACAGAGACAGAGACAGCGAGAGCAGGAACACAAGCAGGGGGAGTGGGAGAGGGAGAAGCAGGCTCCCAAGGAGCGGGAAGCCCGATGCAGGACTCGATCCCAGGACCCTGGGATCATGACCTGAGCCGAAGGCAGTCGCTTAACCGACTGAGCCACCCAGGCGCCCGGCAACTGTATATTTAAAACAAAGACCTTGCTTGTGTTGATGAACCACTTTCAAATCTAATCCTTTCAAGGTCGCCAGGGTCATTACTGTCAGTTACAAAAATGCAGGCAGAGTAACTCACAGCAGACCAGCTCCAACACTCTTACCTTTAAAGTTTTATAGTAAATGGCCCTGTTGATTTCCAGCGGAAATAAATTCTGCTCTTCTCCTGAGCAAGCCCAATTCACATATCGCAGCCAATTCCCCTTCTCTGGGTCGGTGGCATCAATGCACATCCATCCCAAATTTGGGTAATATACCTTGGGGGAGGAAGGGAGGAAATGCCGTTGTTAAAATAGGAGTGTCTTTAAAATGTTTCCATTTTCAACTTTCAAAACAATTCTTCATCATATTGCAATACGGTACAAAACATTTCACAGAAACAAAATAAGCAACAGAGAAAAGAAAACTAAAAGATGAAAACGGGGAGATCCAAAATGGTAATCCTCATTAAGTCATTTCTCTATCTGGGCCGGAGTCCTTTTTTTCTCCTAAACTTTAACACCTACAGCAAATATGTGTAATGATCTCTAAATGCTCTACAAATACTGTCTGCGCACGAAGACAAGTGATAACTCTATTCCCTAAATGTAACTTGAAAAGAAGAGTGAGCTTCCAGCAGCACCCCACTGCACCCAGGTCCCCTGAGTGTTCTGGGTTGTTCTGCAGGTCGAGTGTGGGGAGGGCCCTGTCCTGCCGGACTACACGGTTCCGCGGGTCCCTTTGCTTCCGTAAGTGAACGTGTAGGTGTGAACCTCAACATGGGTGATGGCACACGATGCTTTTGCAACCTCAGCTGACCCTCCAAATCTTCTCTACCTAATCATCTGTTAGAACTAAGGTACCATGGAACATACTCCGGGAAGTATCGGTGTCCTTCCAAAGAAAAGACAGGAAACCTGACCCCTCTTTCAGGACTCAGATCAAACCTACTCATCCACTCTCAGTCAATGTCCCCACCCACCCCTGCCATGCTTCCAGCACTTCTCATTCCTTCATTTTAAAGAAAATCTATTTAGCAACTATTTTTAACTTTTATCTTTGTATACACACACATACCTATATATACACATATATAAATACATATACATATGTGAATGTATTTATATATATATATATATTTTTTTTTTTTTTTTTTTTTTTACTTCCCCCAAACTAGACTGTAAAACACTTGATTAGGCACTGAAATAGAACTCCAGGATCAACTGGTGAAAGAACTGTCAAAAATAAAGCAAAAGAACTAAGTCTCTTACTTTCTCTTTAGGAAGAAAGGAAAGAACCTCAATACTGCAACTTGTTCCCTCCACATACACAGCCAAGACTCCCCCACTCATTTCTTCTTTTCTCTCCTATCCACATTACGCTTCTTTACCGCAGCCTTCCCTCTGCAACAAAGCTCTCACACTTCACTCCCAGCCCTTTGAGCATGCCTGTGTATCCCAGCCTGTGTCTGTCGGGGAGCAGCACCCACCTTCCTGTGTACTAACCATGCTTCTTTCCTGCTGGGAGCCAGATGTCAGGCACAATGCTCTATGCTTTCCGTATCATCTCATTTAACCCTATGTAGCAGGTTCATTGTGTCTTTCTTTTCTTAACATGTGGAAATTGAGGATCAAAAGTTCAATTGGACTTTCCCAAAGTCACCCACTTAATTAAACCCAATCTGCCTGACCCCGACCATACTTAACAGCACCTTCCTCGACCATCCTAGTTAAAACTGTAAATCCTTCTCTTCTCATCAACCACCAGCCATACCCCCAATTTTTTTTTCTTCATAGCGTTTATGCTCTTTTAAAGTATGAGAACATCTTATTTTATTTAGTGACTGCATCCTCACACCAGAGCATAAACTCCATGAAGAAAAGACACGTCAGCCTTTTCACTGACAGGAGCACTCCCAAGACTTGACCAGAGCCTGGCATTGAGTAGGCTCACAATGAATAACTATGGAAAGGATGAAAGGATGATGTTACACACGAATGTGTCGTTGCCATCAGGTAATGAGCACGGACTATGTGACAGGCACCATACCATGTCCTGTAAGTCTCCCCTACGAGTTTATTCAGAAATTGGCTCTACTGAACATCTACCTGCACCACTCTAAAGAAAAGTTATCTGTGTCGCATTAGACCTCTTTTCAAATTATCATTCACCCTCTGCTCACACACACACAGGTGAATGCACACACACTCCCCTCCCTGCAAACAGAGAAAGGGAAGTCCCCAAATGGTATGTTACGAAGAGACAGCATCACAATGCAAGATTTAAAGTGACACTTCACACACCAAAATAATAGAAGGGGCTTTACTTTATAATGTTTCAGAGACATCTGTCACATTTGCCAGCATGACGGGATAAGGGAAAGGGAGTAGCTGTACTTTAACACTGGCAGTCCATTTTAGCTACTTTTTACTAACTTAGGGATCAAAAGTGTTGTTTCGATTTATCACAGTGGACGGCAGAGTCCTACTCACTCCCCATCGACACACTGACACAGATCCAGAAATCAATGGGACGAACAAAGATGGTGCTGGAAAACCCCACACAGTTAAAGGCGGCAGCTGGGAAGAGACACCAAGTCTGCCCACCAACCTGAGGATAACAGTACCAGCTGTGCCCGAATTTCCTGGCTCCCATGTCAACACAGAGACCTCTGTGGCCCATTTGAGTGAATTCCGTATTTATGTATGGTTCATTTTGTTTCAAAATGGATAAAAGCATCTGCTAAGTCATACTTAAACTAAAATACCTACTTCATAGAAAAAGATGAACACCTCAATTTTTTTAAATGTGCAAAAATAATTCACAGAGGAATACACATGGTCCAAACCTCATGAAAAAAATACTTACTTTTAATTAGTTTAAGTCAGTTAAACTAATTAAACTAAACTAGAAATTTAATAATCAAAAAATAACTTCAAATTAAATAATTTTTACCTATCAAACTAGTAAAAAGAAATTTTTAAGAGAAAAAAAATTAGAAGGCAAACATCCCCCCAAACAGTGATTAGAGAATAAACTGGTATCATTTTTTGGATGGAATTTAGCAGTCCATGACAAAAAAAAGCTTTAAAATATACACACACTTTAGCCAGCATATACACGTATAGGAATTTATTCTCATGACATAATTGGCAATTATACCAAGATGTATGTACAAGAACATTCCCAACAGGGTGGTTTATTACAGACTCCCATTAATTGCTAAGTGGAAAACACAATGGATCAGCTCAGGATGATAATCCATGCACACAGAAGAATACTAAGCAGGCATTAAAAAGTACTTTTGTGTAAATCATTAGTTGGTTTATGTGGAATCCTTTATTTTGTTACATATTTCTGTATCCCATAAGAATTTTTCCAATGAGGGTGCCTGGGTGGCTCAGTCAGTTAAGCATCTTGCCTTCGGCTCAGGTCATGATCCCGGGGTCCTGGGATCGAGCCCCACGTCAGGCTCCCAGCTCAGCGGGGAGTCTGCTTTTCCCTCTCCCTCTGCCTCTCCCCCTGCTTATGCTCTCTCTGTCTCTTTCTCTCAAATAAATAAATCTTTTAAAAAAGTTAAACATAGGAATACATGAAGAGAAAAATAACCCGACACTAAATACATGAAAACGTTAGTAACGGTTTTCTCTGAAAAGTGGGATTACCCATCATTTTATTTCCTTTCTTCTGCTTATCTGAATTTTCTGCCTTTCCTCCACTGACTTAGTATAATCTCTAAGTAAAAAAGGATGCAGGTGGGGAGAGCAAGTTAGTTTCCAGCATGAACGCCCAAGTGTGACTAAAGGAAGCCGAGGCCTGCTGACGCTCCTTCTCCTGCCATCATCATCACACACACATTGTTTTAAAAACATATGTAGCTTTCTCATTTTTATTGAGAGTCTAACCTTAGAATTAGGAACGGGGATGAAAACGTGTTTTTATACAATTTCTACCTTAGTTGGTCAAACCTTGGTTTCCAATCAGAATTCACTTCCGTGACAGACATGTAGAACCCAAATGCTAAGATGTGACAGCACTCTGCTTAATGTTAACTACCACTTCTAGACAGCAAAAGTGATGCAACACCATTAGGCTCGGGTAGTGGAGAACCAGCTAGAATCCCTTCCTTTCACACAAAGATAATGCAAAGGCAGCTAAAACTCCCACTCTAGCTCAGACTCAACGAATGATATGCAACAAATCTATTTCTAAATCTGTATAATGACCAAAAAATATTTTCATATAATCAATCCTTTTTCCTGACCCAATCTATAAAACAGTCCCTTTTAACAAAGCAAGGGCACCTGATTATGTATATGCAAACAACTTTTACAAATTAACTTTCAAATGGAAATTCCCTACTTGGAGAAAAAGAACTCAAGGAGGAGTACCTCCACCCCAAGCACTGGGCTAGATGCTTAATATGTTATTTTATTTAACCTTTACAAGAACTCTATGAAATATTACTAAGGCCCCTTTTTAAAACAGGACACCAGGGAAGGTTGGTAATTTTACTAGAACACTAAGGACACTAAAAGTCTGAGCCAAGATTCAAACCTGGTCCCCTCATTTATGCCTCATTTTCAATTTTCCTCTTTCCAAACCCCTCCTCCCATCCTTCACCTTCCCTCCGTCATCCAGGCCGGATCTCCTTTCTGCCCTTACCACTGAACACAGACTGGATATTAACTCTTTGTCAAACAAAACATAATCTTCATACCACTCAACTTCCATTCAATTTAATCAGTCATTTTGAAATAGTCATAAAATCAAAATTTAGTACATACTCCAATTTAAAAACACATCAAAATTAAAGCTTCCTGACACATAAAGGATGTTTTGCAAAGAACAAACCAAACTGTTAAACAGTTTTGAGAGTTTTCGCTTAGATCCTTCCTTATCATTTACTTGTTCTGTTCTACACATGTTAATTCAAACTCATAAACTGAAAAAAATTCTCATTCAGTTAATGCAAATGTACATCATTCAAATCCTCAACTGCTTGCCTATGAGGTCCTTACCCACTCTCAACTTACAGTAACCAACTTACTCTGAAAGAAATCACTCCCAGGAATTGACAGGACACTGAAGATGCCTCCTCATACTGAATCAACTCTCATACAGAGAGACGTCTTTTATGCATCCAAACAGCCCGCCCAAAATTAAGAGTCTATAGTGATAAAGCCATTCTGTTGGGTCTTCTCTGGACTTGCCCTTCAAAGAGCTCTAACACATTATTAATGGTGGGACGGAACCCCTCCTGGAAGTTCACGCTCCC